ATGTCAACTGGTACTATTCTATCACAACCCCTGACTACAGAATATGAATAATGGTAATAACCTCCTCCATTAGCACAACTACCCATATAGATTACCCAACGTGGTTCAGGCATTTGATCATAAACTTTTCGAAGCGCTGGAGCCATTTTATTTGTAAGTGTTCCAGCAACAATCATAACATCAGCTTGACGAGGTGATGCACGAAACCTATACCATACCTGCAACAACCATAACAGTTATAAATTCATATTTTAGGCATGTGATTAATAGTATTCATAGTAAACCAAACTTCTTATGTTAAGAAATCACAATACCTGTCCATATCATATCGTGGTGCAGCCATATGCATCATCTCTACAGCGCAGCATGCCAAAACCAAACGTCATTGGCCAGAGAACTTTTGCGCCCCCAATTTAAAACATCATCAAGTCTAGCTAAGTATACTCTCCCCATGATTTAGTATTTTGGGAAGGTGAATAGGGTTGTTTGGGGGCATCTGTTTTGCCATCTTCGTACACTGGTAAAGTTGTTTGTTTTCTTGACACTAAAGCAAAGCTACCCCCAACAAATTGTATCCATTTTATTGGATTGTTGATCAAAGCAGAACGCAACATCTAAAAAAACGCATGTAACACAATTAATTCACAGAATATTGTATAATTTTGTATTTCCATTACGAATGTGAAAAATTATACTTCGATGTATTGCAAAATTACCTTGAATCAACCTAAATTCAAAACATTATTTCACTAAATTACGCGCGTTTTTCACATTTACATAATAGTCGACAAGACCGTTGTCAATAGTTTGGAAGATTCAAGCGCCAATTCGGGCTTTTACTAAACTAAAGAAGAATTAATGCGGGAGCACATAACAAACATTTTGTAGTTTTTTCATATTGGTTCAACCAGTTAGAAGATTTTGAAAAGTATTTGAATTATTAAACAGACAATTTTGGATCATAAAGAGTTGAATTTAGAACGGTTTAAATCATTAAAAAAATGTCGTAAAAATATTTTGCTTTGTAATTTTCCTAAATTTTCTATAAATTATCCATTAATTATATCTTCACGATTTGAAGGTTGCTGAACATTTTGGCATACCTTAAAAAAATTGATGTGTGTGTGCGTGTATGTATGGATAAAATTTTTCGTCTTCGTTGCACAGGCGCACAAATCAACCGATTTGAATGGTTAAAAAATATTTGATTCCTATTGATAGGGAGATGTGCTGATAAGTTTTTGTCAAAGGCAGGTCCAGTTGTTTTGGAAATACCGAGCAAAGATTGCAGAAAATAGAAATCGTGTTTTGAGAGAACAAAGCAACCGATTTGAACGATCCAAAAAATGTTCAATTCATAATGATAAAGAAAAGTGGTGATTATATTTTGGCAAAGGCAGGACTAGCCGTTTTGGAAATACGAATCTGAATATGCTACGGGAAGTTCCAGCAATTTGTCGTAAAGCACGATGCCACACACCACCAGTTATTTAACAAATTTATTAATTTTTTTTATATTATAGAACATTATGCAATTTTAGTACGGGCCAATGGACACAAATTGTATATTCATTGAAAATTTAAAGAACTGATTTATGTATTCTAAAAATTAGTGTAGAAAATATTTTATAATGTTGGTTTACAATTAATATTTTATAATATTGGTTCGAATATACAGCTTCAAATTTTTAACAGATCTATGAAATCAAAATATTTAATATAAAATTATGCGAGCTTTTAAATATATAACATTGGAATTTATTTTGTTAATAATTTTGAATTTGTTAATTTTGAATAATGAATTTATCTATACGTATTTTTGTTTAGATCTAGGCAATAATGAATATATTATTCATATAGTACTAGACAGATTACTATATTGTCTAGGCATATACTCTTCTTTTATCTATGTGTCTAGGGTACCAGAGGTCTGTCTAAAAAATTATTTTGACAATTTGACATATGGCATGAAGCCCCGAAAACAAGGCTTTGAATATGCCATGATTTTGACATATTGAAAAATTAATTATTGTCACAAACCGAAAAATTAAATAAACATGATAATAAATAATATTTAATTCACTAAAATGGATGATATTAGCGATTCAGAAGGCTCTTTATATGATAATTCAGAGGAAAATTCATATATAATAGAGCAATTCGTACTAGCAGTAACTGATTTTAGCTCACAGTATGGCAGTGATATTAGTGTTTCATATACTGCTTATAACATTTGTGGTAAACCTTCCAAATTTCCAGATTATGGAGATTTTTCACAATCGTTTGTGATGGTAAAACCAAAGAATTCAAATATTTATATTTAATTAATGAATTTGTAAGTAAATTTTATTTTAGAGAACTTATGGCAAGTGGTGGAATTTAGCACCATCTCGTCTAGAACCTTTTATGCCCCAAAATGAAGGAAACATAGTTAGTGAAGATTTTATAGGTGCATTCTATTAATAGATCAGTAAAGGTTTTATATATCTCTATGTAATAAGAATTCTTCTAATGATTCAATATATTTTGGTTGTTAATTAATTGTTAGTATGATGAAATACTTAATAGTTCATCATAGTGTTAAAGCATTATCAAATACTAATTTATTGTCACGCTATATTGTTATTGATTACTGTAACATTGCTATTAACCAAAAATCCAAATATTTAAAGTATATTTTTTATTTTTTAGCATCACATTTTAATAACTTGAAATAAATATGATTTAGTTAATTGCTCAATGTTTTATATAAAAAAATTCTGCAGAAATATTATATGAGACATCAGTGTATCCAATATGTGTAAGTTTATTTGAAATTTATAACCCTGGGGCTTTGGTCAGGATTTGGGCATCTCAGCCAGAAGGATGTTGGTCATTATTATGGGAAGGAAAACCTGAAATTATTGGACATAAACCTCGCATGTTTACCCCACCAATTCAAACAACGAAATACCCCACAAAGTAAACATGTGATGATATTTGAGATTATTACAAACTGATGTCCAATTCAAAAATGTAATTATAGGTTTTTTTATGTTATTTTAGATTATTACGTTTAGAATTTAACCAAAGCCATTTGGAATATTATACAGAACTTGATGCAGTTCTTCTGACTGGTTCTAAATTGCCATTGAATTCACAAAATGTTGATGTCAAAGAAGAGAAAAGTATATCCACAATTGGGAATGGTAATAAAAAAATAGTTTATACTGTAAATAGTCGATTCGTATTCTTATTTTGATTATTTTTAGGTCAACTGGTGTCAGCAATTTGTAAAATGTCTCTTCATGAAAATCTGATAGAAGATGAAGATAAAATACATGAATTACAAAAGGTGGTTAATGATTATAAATCAAGCTTGAAATCTAAAGAAAAGAAAAGGAATTTAGGAATGATATCCTGTTTACCAGTAAGTATGAATCATGTTGTTTGTAATAAAAGAATAAATATGATGCTTTTCAGATTTGTAATGGAATATGGCAGTCTGTATTTTTACTATGTTTTAATTTCTCACAAAATAAGTTGTTTGAATAGTAATATTTATATAAATATCAATATTTTATGTAAAGATTAATGTAAACACATACATTTCATATCAAAACAAAACCTTGTTTTCAGGATGAGACCATTTTGAAAATACTTGGCTATTTGGATTTAATATCTCTATTTCGATGCTCCCAAACAAGTTCTTACTTATATCTTCTTTGCACTGATCCAATGTTGTATACCGTGTTAGGTTTGAAACCCTATTGGCACTATCTGAATGTTGAAGCTCTGCAAACATTGTCCGTCAGGTGATTACTATAATTTGTTTATTAGCCTTAGATTTTTTGTCCTTAATATTTGTTTTTATTTCATTATACTCGAATGAATAACAAAACTCATATAGGATTGTGGTACTTATGTATTCTCATTCTTTCATATATGTTTTCAGAAGTAAATTATTGCAGAAATTAGATTTATCCTGGTGTGGTTCTTATGGTAGTTTTAAGGAGGAGCATTTTACCAAGTAGGTAATAGTAATACATGGTAATAAATTTTATATCAATTTGCATAACATATCAATTAGGAGCATGTTTAATTTACAAAAAAAGAAACTAATTTTATAGCACTTTAAAAAACTAAATTATGAATTTTCAGATTCTTGAAGAATTGTGGTCGCTATTTGATAGATTTGCGGCTGAACACTTGCAAATTTGTAAGTAATGACACTTGCTTGAGTATCTCTCAATACTGCTCTAATATAAAAGGTAATGAATCATAGATTATTCTATCATCTTGGATTTTCTTGATAGTTCAAGATTGCTTAAAAGAAACTTATATAATTATCAGTTTTTAAAGCATAAAATAATACTTTTTATTACAGAAATTTGTCTACGTAACTGTGCCAATATAAATTCAGTAGGTTTTCAAAAATTGGCAAAGCTTAGAAATTTAGAACGTCTAGACTTGTATCGCACTAATATTGAAACTCTTCAACTTTTAGAGATTCTCAAACACAATAAAAATCTTAAACATCTTAATCTAGGTGAGACTTCTTTTTTCACTATTTAATTATTAGATATGTTAATAGCACTGAAATGGTTATAATATATTTTAAGGCTCTTGTGCTCATGTATCAAATTTAGATGAAATTATGAGGCAATTATCTATAACTAATCAAAGTTTAATTTCCTTGGATTTATGGAAAGGATATTCAATAACATCTGTTGGAGTACGATTTTTATCAAGAATTTCTTCTTTAGAAGAAATTGATCTAAGTTGGTGGTAACAAGTTATATTATTATCATTGTTTGTAGCATGTTATATGATTTCTTGCTCACTTTTTTCAATTATTTGCTATCATGAATATTAAATATAGATTTTATTTTGTAAAATTTTTCAATTTGTTATTGTATAGCATGGGAATTGGTGAACCGGGAGATAGTCTGCATTGCTTAGCAAAAGGATGCCCCAAACTTAAAAAATTGTTTTTAGTGGCTTTGAGAGGTATTACTGACTGGGACTTGCAGTTTTTTCCATCTTTATGCCCGAATCTTCAGCAAATTGATTTAATGGGAATTAGAGGAATAAATGCTGAGATATGTCTTTCGTAAGTACTTATTTTGAATTATTGCCTACACCTAAAAACATATAAATATATTTACTGGCACAGCTTTTTAATATTGTTTTATAACATATATCTATATTACCGACAATCTAATATATTGTGGTAAAAACATATATTTTTACTTGAAAATATAATTAAAAAATATGTCTTCAATTTAATTCAGATTTCTCAATAATTGCTATGATCTTCAACTATTAGATGTAAGTTTCTGTGATCAGATTAAAGATTCACAGGTAAGATGCTAACAAGCACTTTATTCATTATATTCTAATAAAATTCGTTTGGATAGAAATAAGAACTTGGTTTTCAGGTAGCTGTTTGGCGTCAGCTTTACCAATCAGTTAGTATAAAACGTAGTTTTCAATCCAGTGGATCTAATAACAGCTGGTGATGTTGATTTCATATGTGGAAATACTATTGTGATTATATATTATAATTTATTAATTGTATATAATTCATTTTTATGATTAAAATATTTTTACACTTATTAAATATTTTTACATTATCCTGATGCATGGTAATATTGTCCAAAGGTTACGCGATTTCCGAATTTTCTGCATATAAAATCACACATTATATATATATATATATATATATATATATACATGTACATATATAATCTTTAACCTCCATGGTAAATAAAAAGGATTTTTTAATCTTTGAGAAAGTGGATACCATCTATATATATATATATATATATATATATATATATATATATATATATAAAAAATTGGTTCCGACGCCACTGTATATATATATATATATATATATATATATATATATATATTCTATAGTGATAATCCAAAGCGATCAAATTTACAAACATGAAAAAATATTATGTCCACATCTTATTATAATGATAAAATCTATATCATAGCGAAGTCTTCAACTATAAATATATATTAAATTCTGTTTTGGTTTTTAAATTGAATGTTAAACATATTTTTATTATCTGCAAGTACACGATTTTAGTATTAGTTTCATTATATTCAATTTGATTAGTTGTTTAACCTAATGTTCCGATTACGATTAGGAAAAAACGATTTTTCAAAAATTTTGTGATCTAACTGGAGTTGTTGTCTGTTGTGTAAATTCAGTTCGAGTAACATTTGATTATGAAATTCATGTATTTGATGTTCTCGATTATCCAACATATTTTGCAAGTAATTCATTCTCTGACTATGATCCATTACATTGAGTACTTCAACATTTGTGCATCTTGGAATTCTTGGCTTGGATTCTAATGGCAATTTAGATGGTGTAGGAGTTATTTCTTTGACGTCAGATGATCGTTTCAAATGCTGTTTCGAATGGTTTGACCGATATGATTTTCTATCTGTAAAAAATAATCTGTAAAGCTGTTAAATTATGATCGAACTGTTACTATTTTGCTGTTTTTTTTTATTCAATATGTGTTTGAGAAGAAATTCATTATAAGGCGGGAAAAGTTTATACAAACCCAACTCATGGACCATTTCATCCGCGCCGCCGGTTATCCGTTCTTGAACCGGGACAAACGTTTGCTGCTTATTATATTCTTCTATTGGATATTTTGGTTGTGATTTATGGTCGGACAAAAATACACATTTACTAAAAAGATATAAAAATAATTAAATTTTTCTGAATAGATTATACATATATTTGAATGCAATACACCTTATTATCAGCCAACAGACCGGCGTATAATAATCAGGGCTGTACCTGTCCCTGCACGCAAGCAACCGAATTGAAAACCGACCAAATTAAAGGACTGCCGATTTCTTTTTATATTTAAGGTTTAAATGAGGCGAAATAGCCTTAAAACATGAACTACAACTATTTTTTATTAAATATCAATTACATGATTAGCCAAAGGTTTAAAACCAAATTTTGAATAATTATTCACGAGCTTTAAAGCCATACAACGCGCAAACATTAAATATGCGTCTAAAGTTTCTTTTTCAGTTATATATACAGGGAACATACAATTTTTTCAGTGATAAATCATTAAGGTGGCAAAATTTAAAACAGTTATTTCATCTCTGGTTAGCCGTTGCGAAAATTTTTCATACTTGTTTGAAGATTGTTTTTGGTTTCGATAAAAATTTATTGATATGGATCATGAGGAAATAATTCAAAGATGAAAAAAAATGAAAATATAATTTTTAATGAATATTTTATTATTTATTGTTACACTTATATATGTGCAGATCACGATTGATAGGTGATCGATGAAATTCATTTTTCGCTTTCAATCTCTACTTGTTTTTTAAACAACATCTTACTCCTAATACAATAGGTACTAGAAATATTAGTAAAAGTTTTAAGCTCGTGGCAACATTTAGGAAAGAAAGTTTTCCAATTGTATTTGTTTAAAACAATTTTCTTAAAGGCAGGTTAAGAAAAGCGGTTTCGGATATAGTAAAAAAAGTAACAAAAATGCCATTTGGCGGTCAAAAATGGTCATTAGACATATGCACTTATGTGCCAATAATAATAATTTTATAATGATAATTTTATAATTATCAAATATTTTATAGAGATTTTCCGTTAGACGGCGACGCGGCGCTTACGCGCATCTATATTTCGTCTCTATGTAGTTAAAGCAGTACGATTGCTTTGAAAAAAGTTCAGAACTTTTAAAATATTTTTAAAACGTTTGAAATATTTCAAAATAAAGAATTTTTTTTTCAGTCTTTTCCAAAAAAATATTTTTTTTTCAAAAATTGATATTGTTTCTCAAAACTCTAATTTTTTCAAAATAATTTTTTTTAAAAATGTTAATCTTTTTTAAAAAAATAGTTTTTGGTACAGGAAGTTCCAGCAATTTGCCTTAAGGCACAAAGCCATGCGCCCCACTAGTTTTTTTCATGTAGGTGAAAGTAAAGTTACTTTGTACGACGAGTATGGTAATTATGTAATTATGTATATTTAGAAAATATACATAATGTATGAGTACTCACCCGTAATTCAAGCCAAAATATAGTAAACATGCTAGAATCATCAAAATAATTTGAATAAACGAAAGTCCTAAACCCATTGCCAACAACATTATTCTGTTCAATTGTAGCAAATTTAATAGAACTCTCTGACACCCCTGCAAAACAAGTTTACAAATAAAAAAATCAATTTACAAAATTCAATCATATTATATAGTGATCACCTTTTCAAAATTCGAATTTTGATTAGTCATTTTCCCGAGACAATTACTACCCTGTTTACAACAAACTTTCGGGATTTCTAAAAATGATGTTGTTTTATTGTCTGTGAATTCTTCGATTGATTCATTTAGCTTTGATATTTCTGGGTTTCTTAATTGGCTAATTGAAGCAGTATAACTGTCGAAATCCATATAATTAGTTCTTCCGCAACATTGATAATCTACGATCATTATTACTTGTAAAGTTTGGCTGTTCTTTGAGTATTTTATTGATATTTACTTTTCATAAGTCGATCAAAAACCTTTGTAATACTTGGTTTACTTGAATTAAATTTGTAGTCAGTTACCATTAATTCCAATATTTTAGGCAGTTGTGATCCATTCTAAAATAAAAATGGCAATGAGAATACTTGCTCAACCTTTTTATTACTTATGGAATAGAACTCATCTAATTAAATCTAATAAATTGTATAAGAATTCTTATACAATTTATTAGATTATATCATTATATGATATAATTTTTTCTATTACAAACCGTACTTTCTCAGCATTTATGTGCAGATGAAGGCCTGAACCTGCTTTAACTAAAATTGTTGTGCTGGCAATACTTGCGTACTAAATTATAGAAATATAGTTATAAAATTCTAGATAATTATTATAAAAATAACTATCGTATTATAGATATTCTAATAAAAGCACAAATGTAGTAAATTTGATGCTTTCAAATTAAAAACAAGATCCCTATTGAAAATGTAAAGTGTATTAATTGAGTAAGCACTTGAAAACAAATACTAAATGAAAAACTTAATTATTACATCATTAAAATTAGAAAAATTAAAAATTAAAATGAAAGAAAAGTATAAAATTTAAAGATGTTGGTTAACTACTTTTTTATAAAGATATTAGTGAATTATTAACTTCCCCTAGGGTAAGTTATAGTAATCGCAAAAAAATCGAAAATGAAAATGTTTATATATCTTTACGTTTCAGAGGTTTCTGAATATTTTGGCATACTTCAGAAGAAAATGGATGTATGTGTATGCGTGTGTATATGGTGTTCGGATACAAATTTTCGTCGACGAGTTCGGGAACACGGATGAAGCGATTTGAATAATTCAAAAAACATTCGATTCGTATTGATTGAGGAGACGTGCTGATTAGTTTTTGGCAAAGGCAGGTCTAGCCGTTTCAAAGATATAGTAATTTTTTTTCAAAAATGTTAATCTTTTTAAAAAAATAATGTTTGGTATGGGAAGTTGCAGCAATTGGCCTTAAGGCACGATGCCATGCGCCCCACATAATTGATATTAGTGAACTTAAATCTGCAACTGTAATATCATGCCTGAATAATATAGAATATATTAAAATACCAGAAAGATATATGGATGAAAGAAGGAATATTTAACTTTACTATACCCAAATAAAAAATAGACTAAATAAAAGAAATAAACGAGCAAAAAGAAATTTAAATTAAAGGATTATCTAGAAAAAAGATTAAATATGAATAAGTGTTATATAAGAAAAGATTATATATGGATAAAGTATTACAAAATAAATAGATATAAGAAAAATATGAGTTATATGATGTACTAAATATAACACCAATTAGTAAGAGAAAAATAAGAAAGCTCTACTTCAAAAACATTAGAATGAATTAAATATATGGAATAAATTTCAGGATGGAGCTATTTAAATAGGAAAAATTTATTTATATTTTTTATCATTATAAATTAATGGAAAAGTTCTTAACACGAAAGAAGGATGGATGTACTTTATCTGAATTTCTAGTTATTTTGACAACTTACGACCACTATCATCAGTTTTGACTCCTTAATTACAGCATAGTAACCGAATATACTTATCAGAAACATTGCCATGCTCAAACTGGCAAATATTTTAGAATATCTTTGTAAATTTTGCGGTTCTCGATAGTCCTACAAAAAATAAATATTTTGAATCTCCTCTGTTATTTTCGCTATACTAATCTTTTTTTTCACAAGTCATCACCTCAGCTTCTTCATAATTAAGCGAAACGTAATCAATAAATTTGACCATGTTTGATACCATAACTAGTAACCAAATGCAGATTGCAAATATGCATATGGCGAAAACTTGATATATAAGGGATAAGAAATAAAATATGGTATACATTATTATATACTATCATATGTAATACGTCAAAGTGACACTATAAAAATAATTAATATTATTTATTATAGTTAGCGGCCGTGGGTATATTCAGCATACGAAGC